GTCATCACTCTTCAAACAAAATCTTTTCTATTCTGAGAGACAAGTGTTCATTAATCTTTGGCATCAGTGAGAGGGTAAATTGTCTTAAAGAGACACATTTTGTGGGCTCGGATTTATTCCTATACTATTCTGCATCCATTCATCATTCTGTCTCATTATCTGACATCAAGTAAGTCTGTTCTAATTTTTCATTATTGCACTGTGTATGATAATTCTGATCATTTATCTCTTCTGTCCTATACATGAGTTCAAACCTCTTAGTGATTTAATATTACCCACTGTCTTCATATAACAAATTGATCCAATAGTAATTAATTAGATAGTAAGAATAATAAGACTAAAATGATAGTAAATATAAGGAGGATTGGGATTTCAAAGGATTTTAATGGATTATTTTTGGACAAAAAAATCCATTTGAATTCAATTAGGATTTTAAAGGACTAACAAAAGTCACGCGGTATTCTATTAGGATTTTAAAAAAATTATTTTAGAGTCCATCCAAATTTGTTGGTATTCAATCAGGATTTTAAACAAACGAAAAATAATCTTGTGATATTCAAAAATCTAACGATTTTAATGAATTTTCTATTGGTGTGAATTTCGTGAGAAATATAAATAAGATGCCTCTCTCACAATCTCACCATAACCCCTAGGATTCCTTGAGATTTCTCTATTGTAGTGTTTTCTTCTTCCTTTGTCTGGTTGACTCACTCAAAATCAGGTTTCGCCATAGGAGCTTCGTCAAAGCTCAAAACAGTAGATTTTTGAGTGATTTTCATCACAAAACAACCTAAAAAAACAAACCAATAAGATTTTAATATAATCCATCTCAAAAACAGCAGATTTTTGAAAGCTTTTGAAAGTTTAAAAAATGATTTTTCAAGTTATGGGTCGCGATTTTTTTTGGCACAAAGAGGTATAATTTTTGTATTAAAAATAACATAAAACCCTCAAACCAAATTTGAGTTTTACATCAATGAAACAAGATCAATTTAAAGAAATATTGAAACTTTCATAATATAAACCCTATATTTCGTAACAATACATTCATGAACGAAATTTCTTCGCTATAGGAAACGATTTCAAATAATTTTTGTATCAATAGATAACTAAAAGCTTATTTTTCAAAAGCCCCAAAGCAATTTAAGGTTTTAATTTATCGATTGAGAATAATTTGAGAAATTTTCTAAACTTTCATGTAATAAAACCCAGATATTCAGATTCAAAATTTTCTTAGAATACTCAATGAAAATATGCAGATAATATATGGTTAGAAAACTCTCATCACGTAGAACAAAAATCCCAAAGTTTTCAAGATCAATTGCAAAAAATTCCAAACGAAATTGTATCATGAATTTTAGGTTCTATATGCAAATTTAGAATTATTAATCGGGTCTTATAATCATATATGCATAGCTCTGATACCAAATGAAGAAGATAATTTTTAGCTCATTGGTCAAACCCAAGAGCATGAACTAAAAAATGTTAATGCATGGAGGGCTAGTATAACTCTAGATACGTGGAGAGTTGTTGCTAATTTTGAATGTTTGTTAAAAATTATATTATGTTTAACTGATTGAGAAAATTATATTAGGTTTTACTTTTTTTATTAATATAATTGCATTTCTTTGTTATTTTTTTATTGATTCTTATAATTTTGAATGTTTGTAAAAATTCATATGATTTTTAAAATCTTATAAATCCATATTGTCCTTTCAAATCTTATAAATTATATTAAAATCCATAAAATTCAATCTTATGAAATCTTGATTGTAAAAAATATCTTTTAAAAAAGTCTTTAAAGTTCGTCCAATTCTAAATAGTCTTTTAAAATCTATAAGATTTTTATCTCAAAAAAATCTTTCAAAATCCTAATCAAATACACCCCCCTAAAATGATAGAAAATATAATCGCCCCATAGAATAAAATAGAATCAAATTAACGGGAAGTTTATACTTGCTACTATCTTAGTCTTACTACTCTTATTCCTGATTCGTTACTATTGAATGAATTTGAAATTAACGGCAGTTAATTTTTTCTCATTTTTTAACTGTTGATTTCAAATTAATTAAATGATAACCAATCAGTTAGTAAGAGTAATAAGGTTAAAATGATAATAAATATAACTGCACCATAAAACCAATACATATTTTATTTCTGTAAAACATATGTGAAATTGATTTAATCATTCAAAAAAGTTAATACCAATTGAGCCCATTAATAAAAAAAAAGTTATATCAATTTGAGTTCTTAAGAAAAATTGACATAAGTTTAATTTATAAATCAGAAATTCTATTATCAATTGATGTTTTGGCAATTTGTGTATAAAAGGACAATTGTAACGTCATTTTTTTTTTTTGGGAGGTTACAAGGAATTGAACACAACATCCTACACTACACACACACTTCTAACACACACCCCACACCACTAGGCTAACCCTAGTGGTGCTGTAACGTCATTTTTTATTATGAGGTAACTAAATTAAAATATTAACTTTAAAAAAAAATTGAACAAAGTAACGTCTCGTATATTTTGAGTTTTTTTTTTTTTTTTTGGTAAACAATAGTTTGAGTTTTTAAAATGGGTGTTAGATATCCATTTATTAGGTGTTTCTTCTGACTTCAGATATTTGATAAAGTTCTAGTGTGAGAATGACGACAAACCCTAGAATAGTTCCTCGTGGGCCTATGATTCAATATAGTGTGTTTGAAATTTGAGCTTGAGAAAAAAATGACAAAACGGAAGAAAAAGCGTGTGCACCTAATTAATCAAGATGAATTAGTAAATCAATTTTGTTTCATTATTTTTATTGGAGGTGATAAACAAAAATAGATCTACATCTCACAACCAAACGGCTAAGTTGGTAACTAATTAGCAGTAACTTAGTTGGAAACAAGAATCTTGAGTAAGTGTAAGGGAAAAGAGTCTCGGTTCGATCCTCACGTATCATCTCTGACCCGGTCCGTTGACCCGGTCCGTACTCCGAATTAGTCGTATAGACAAAGCTTGTGAGAATATCAGCTGAAAGGTAATTAAAGTTGGATTAATTAAAAAAAATAACATACATCTCACAAGTCCGGCATTGAAAATAAAGAGATGACTAAAAATAAGTAAATGTAAAAAAAAAAAAAAAAAGAGTTGAAGACTTTAGACTAGATTCTCTTTGTGATTTATTTTTCGTTTCATTTCATACTTGGGAGAGAAAGCATCTCCCTCTTCTCCACAAACAGAGATCTAAACGAAACCAAAAAGCAGCAATAGTAATTAAAAAACATAAAGACAGTAATCAAATAAAGAACAAAAGGAAGTGGGTGTGGTAGCTCAAAGCTTGGTCACATGATGTCATTGTCCAATTTTGTCAAGCAGCGTCACTAAACACAAGTGGGATCGTTGTCAGAATTGGCTTTATATCTATGGTTTAGTTGGTGGAAACATTCACATGAAATTTTTATCTCTATGTACTATGATTTAGTTGGTGCAAAGTACTTCCATGAAATCTCCCCCTTCCCCATCTCCCTCCCCGTGTGTCTCACGGTCAAGAGAAGATAAAAAAATATGGAGGACATACATCAACTGTATAAACGACAAATTGCAATAGTGATTGGACACAATATCTTAACAAAAATCTTAAAACTAATGAGTCAGTAAGTTTTTTATTGATATGATATTCATTTAACCAGCTCTTAATTAACGTGCAATTTTATTATTCACATTTAAATTTTTAACATTTTCTTCCTCAAATGAGAGTTTCAATATTAGTATGTTTTTCCTGTAGTGACAATCTTTTCAAGTATTCATGGGGTTACTAACTACGAGCAGCTAAGTCTTGATTAATGCTTCATAACATGGGTTTCGACACTAATCCAATGCTAACCACCACCTCCAATACTCTCCCTAAGACCCTAACTAATCCATTGACTCTGATATTACTTGTTAACACAAAAACAATTTAATCAAAATATTATAGGATTATATGAAATTAGAACATAATTTTTAAGCCTACTTATTAAGAACATGATTCTAATTGGTGTCAAGGAATTGCCACTTTTGGCTTGAAAATCCAATAAGGTTTGAAAGGTTAAGGCTTCCTCTATAGTCCAGACTCCCTATTCACAACTCTTAATGGGGTAAGTTGCTAAACAACTATATATTGCATTCTGTAAATGCAAAGAGAACCTAGTTAACTATACTAACCTCAGTCCCTTCTCATCATAGACCTATATGCTAAACTTATACTCTCACCCAAATTAATAAATGTTACAAATATTTAAACCACAACAGAAGAATCATTAAAGCTACATGTGCATCTATAAAACACTCCCATATAAATCATGACTTAACCTATTTTTATTAAAATCAAAATCATAGTTGATTACAACCTACAATAATTATTAAATAATTACAATACTCTTCCACTTACGGAAAATCAATTGAATAATTTCAATTATAAAAAATTCATTTGAAAAAGACTCTCAAACTAAGGACTAACCTGTAATGTGACTGTTAGGTGGTCTTTGCCGTCAATCAAGGGAAACTTAATTCATTTCCAAGATGATGGCCAATTGCATAAGTGCACACATCAAGTAATAAATGGAAGTTTTAATTTCCAGATTATCGTTCCCTCAGAGAAAATATTACTAATATGAATTTCGAGCTATATTAAAGAATAAAAATAATGTTTACCAAAAAAAAATAAAATAAAATAAAAATAATGGGTTAACAGTATTGAACTGTTCTGACTACTCATTCTCAGTTATCACAAGGTTGTTCTCACTATGACAAAAGGTTCAAATTAACTTAAAATAATTCCTTGTGTCGTTATGTATTTCAAGTCCTTCCTAATTCAAGGAGGAACGACAAATCATTAGAAGATATATTTGTTGTGTGGTGTGAAATAAAAGCATGATGCTTAGCTTAGGAAGTTTTTGGACCTCCTAAAATAGCTCTAGATCAGCATCTCATTGGTAGAAGCTTTAGAACAAATTCCCACGTGAAATTTATGAAAAAGATCCTCCCTAGGAAAAAGAGGCTTGAAGAATTCAAGACTGTTGCTCTTACTCAAGAGAGTAGAAAATACTTGCTGAGCAAGTTACCTCATAAATTAGAGGATCCAAGGAGTTTTACAATTCCTTGCACCATTGGTGACCACTACACTGGAAGGGCATTGTGTGACTTAGGAGCTTTGATGTCAATGAGTGTGTTTAGGAAGCTTGGGGTAGGGGAAGCTAGACCCACCACTATTACTTTACAATTGTCTGATAGATCCTTAGCCCACCCTGAAGAAAAAATAGAAGATGTTTTAGTCAGGGTAGATAAATTTATATTGCTTGCTGATTTTATTATTTTGGACTATGAGGAGGATATAGATGTTCTTATAATTTTAAGAAGACCCTTTTTGGCCATTGAAGGAGCCATAATCGATGTAGAAGAGGGTGAGTTGTCCATGAATATGAATGGAAAAAAGGTGAAGTCTAATGTCTTAAAATCCATAGAGTACCCATGGGAGATAGAAGACTGTTCTTGGATTGATGTGATTGATTGTGCTATCAAAGTAAAATTAAGAAAGGAAAAATTGAAGGAACTATTAACAACTACTATTATGGAGAACTATGAGGCAAATAATGCAGATGTAGAAGAGTGTAAAAATTGGTTGAACACCTGTTCCTAGTTTAAGAGACAAAATTTTTGAATCCTTAGAACTATCTAAGTGGGGGGTTTAGACTTCCAAACCCTTCAATTGAAGAGCTTCCTATCTTGGAGCTTAAACCTCTACCTAAATCACCATAAGTATGCTTATTTAGGAGGAAAAATCACGTTGCTTGTCATTGTGTCTAATTTCCTTACTGATTTAGAGGAAAAACAGCTACTGGATATATTAAAAAATTCAAAAAGGCCATAGGTTGGACATTGGCAAATATAAAAGGAATATGCACATCTTATTGCATGCATAAGTTTTTTTAACTGACCTAAACAACAACTCCATTGAGCAGCAAAGGATATTGAACCCCATAATGAAGAAGATGGCGAAAAGGAAGATCATAAAATGGATGGATGCAAGGGTTATTTACCTCGTTTCTAATAGTAACTCGGTAAGCCTAGTTTAGTGTGTCCCAAAGAAGGATGAGATCACTATAATTGAGAATGCTAGCAAAAAGTTAATCCCCACTAGGACATTCACTTGTTGGAGGATTTATAAGGATTATAGAAGACTTAATAAAGTTACTAGGAAGGACCATTTCATTCTCTCTTTCATAGGTCAGATGTTGGATAGGTTGGCTGGAAGAGAGTATTATTGTTTCCTTGATAGTTATTCAGGATATAACCAAATAGCCTTAGCCCCTGAAGATCAGCCAAAAACCACCTTCACATGCCCCTTTGGCACTTTTGCCTTTACAAGAATGCCCTTTGTGCTATGTGTAACACCCCGTGTACACCCGGTGTATTAAACATATAATGGTAATAAGCGCAACTTAAGTAAATTGCGGAAGCTACTTATCCAATTATGAAGACTCATTAATTTAACCAATAGAATTAACTTTTTCTTTTTAACAATATTTATGTAATTCCAATACAAACAAAAATCTGAAATATCACATAGTCATAAATAATACTTAGTCATGAGCCTACATAGTGTAGTCATGACAACATCCATACCCAATGGTGTAAACCAATACATGTCCTCAACAACAATAAGCATTATTATTAAATAGTGGCATAGACAACCCCTATGCTCACATCAAATAAACATAGTCAATACTATCAATATAAACATACCTCAGCAATAATATGTCTCATAATTATAATGCATGCACATCATGCAATCAACTCTACTCTGGCCTCTTGCCTCGAGATGCACCAACATCATGGATATTTGTACCTGAAAAATGTTCCCCACACGGGGTGAGATTTTGACATATCTCAGTAAGACAAAGGTCCTCAAGGATTCCTCCGCCCCAAGCTCACTTACAAGTATAATAAGTTCAACAGAATACTAGAATGCATAATGCTGAATATATATAGCATGACATGTGAGCAATAACAATATCTAATGGCCAGAGACAAGTATGCATTACGCACATCTGCAACATACTAAAAATATAAGGGATGCTGCCTTATGCCCTACACTCAGGGATGTCGCCTGCACATGTAGGTAACTAACACATTCACATATATATCAACACATTATGCCTCAAATCATTTCCAAATGTATCAAATATACAACAGTGCATAAAATCATTTATAAAGACATACCATGCACATAAACAACCTCTTATGGAGTTTGGTGAAACAAACAATAGATCAATCTGAGGACCAGAAGCTTACCTGTAGCGGTATAGTCCTCCAACACAAACTCAGTATCAACAGGGTCATCCACAGCCACACAATCCGGCAAGTACAATCTATTTTATGTCAAATATACCATTAATAATCAGATTCTACAATTTCATGACATTTGAACTACATTTTCTTTTTCACTTTGTAATTGCATGCTTCTTTCAATGCCACAAATACAAAATCGTATTTACCATTTTTAAAATTGCAGTTGCGTCTCTTAACCAAAAATTCTAAGATTTTATTGTGTTAAACTCTACATACTAAGATTTCTAACGACATATTTTATGCTTTAATTGGAGTTTTATAACTCCGATTATGTTTTTCGCAAAGTGACTACAGCAAACTAAATATTCAAAAGCAATGCAGAAACTTCACACTTAAACCGAGATCAATTCAATTGTACAATGGATATGAAATTTCACATGGTTATATCCCTATGTGTTTAGCTTCACATAGGTCCAAACGGCACTCGATTTGGAGCTCTGTACCTCAAGATATCGTGATTTTACCAAACCATATTTTTGCTGCACTTAGGGATTCGAATCCCTAAATGATGGATTCAAATCCTTCTCTGCCAGAAACCAAAATTCGACATTTTAACGGGAAGGATTTGAATCCTTCCCTGACAGAAGCCAAAATTCATCGTTTTTTGCTAGGGATTCGAATACCCTTTGAAAGGAATCGAATCCCTCTTCGACAGAGGACAAGACAGCAGCCTTTTTGCTCGAAAATGGTCATACCAATGACCCCTCAATGGCTCAAGCTATCATTTTTATATGACAAAGGGTCCAACCAACTCATTTACTCTTGGATTACCAGTTCAACACTTAGGTTACCATGTTCTTCTCATTTACGTGTTCAAGAATTAATATTTTTCATAAAATTCAAAGAGGAGTAGTGAGGCATGTACCAAGAGCTTTCAAAACAAAGAAAAAGAGTGGTCTTGAAGGTCCCTAGTTCGGTCTTCACTACTGTCTAGCTCAACCCACAAAGTTGGCTCACAAAGGTTGACCTTTTCTCCGCAAAATGGCTTCTTGAAGTTTCAAAGGAGTGTGTAAATGACTCACAACAAGGGAATGAATGTAAGAACCCGCACCGTTAATTAAGGAAATTAATTAATTAAATATGGGAAATTAGGACATAATTCCATAATTGACCCTAATAATTATTATGAGGCTTTAATAATTATGGTAAGTGAGTAAAAATACGGAAAGTCACTTTTCTGACGAAAAGTGTAGATATCGGTCCTGCTACCCGGTATAAATGCGTACCGGCGAAGTATCCCGAAAAATTATAATAAGTGCATGAATATTACTAGAATAATATATAGGACTTGTAAAACGAGTTTCAAGTTAAAATAAGGAGAACTGGTGCCAGAATCTGATACTGGCTATGGAAAAGCGCATACCGGAAATGTGCTGCGAAAAATAAAATAAAATATGATAAATCCTAGAAAAATGAGTAGGTTCAGATTCCAAAGTTTGAGATTGAAATGCTAAGCGTAGCAATTAGCGCTAATACTGTGTGTTTATGACTTAAATGGCTATAAATACTCTTATTTGCATAAAACTCTAGACATTCCTTTTGTTCCTACGTGACCTTGGGCGGCTGAAGTTCTCTTTGCACTGTTCCATTGCTTTCCTCCTCCATTTCTTGAGCTTTGAGGCCACTTCCTTCATGAATTATTCTCCTAAACACTTGGTGTGGGTGAGAGTTAGCTTTGGGTCTATGTTATTGGCCTTCTTCTGAGTTGAGAGTGCTGCCTTGTGTGAAAGTGTGGGGCTGAGTTAGTGGGTGGTTGTGTTGGAGCCTTGTTCTTGGTTGTGGAAGCTCCAAGTGCTATCTTTGTGAAGAAAAAACCAAGTCTTGGTTGCCATTTTCGTTTTCTTGAGAAGTCAAAATAGAGGGACTAAGTTGTGAGCTCCAAGAGCCTTCTTTTCCTGAGTTCCAAGCTTGGGTAAGTTGTACCAACCATGATCTTGAGTTTAATGCTAAAAAAATGGAATCTTGATGCATGTAATGAACCTTTGATCATAACCTAAGGTTGGGTAATGTTAAACATACCTTAAATTGCATGTTTGAGCCTCTGTATGCATGAAAAGAACTATCTTTGGGAAGGATATCTCGCGAAATGCAGAACTGCATTCTCTCGCGAAATATCCGGATATGGATATCTGGATATTGATATGTGGATATGATATCTGGATATTGATATCTGGATATTGATATCTGGATATGGGCTCTTATGATATCCGAATATGGATATCCGGATATGATATCCGGATATGTGATATCTGGATATGCCCCCGACATATATCCGGATATTATGGGTTCCCGAGAACAGTAGCGATACTGTTCATACAGAATTGAGTTAAGGGTTTGTGGACCCTAGATTATGGAAGTTGAACTTCTATAATGATTAAGTTAAGTCAGAATCATGTGATTAAGGGCTTGAGGCTTTGTGAGAAGCCTAAAGACTTGAAACGCAAAGGAAAGGCGTTGTGTTTGTGTCTTATGCTTGTTAAGCATGATTATTGATATATTGTTGATCCGAAACAGATTGTGATTCTGCTGTGTTTGGGCCTTGAGCATTGGTTGGACTCTTGGCTTGGATTGTTAGCTTGCAAGGTAAGCTTTCGTGTCCTCGGATTAGTCTGTTGTTTATTCCACCGACCTCTATGGGAGGGTGGTTTATAGGCATGGTATGCTTTTATGAAAGATAAAATATGCATTGATATATGCCTGAGATGTATTAAATTAATTGTTGGCTACTTGCACAATCAAACATCGACTTTGGTGTGTAAGACATGTAGTGTATGAAAGTGATGTTGTCACTTACACGATCAGACAGCGACTCTGGTGTGTACGACATAAGACTGCGACTCTTATGTTTAGATGGGTCGCAGACGTGCATAATCCCTATCCATTTCCCTGGCCAGTCGAACCGCATTTATATTCATCACATGATTAATGAGTTGTAATATATAGCTCGTTGAACAAGAGATTATACTGTCATGATATAAATGCCTTAACAAGAACATGCATTGAATTTATTGCTTTTGAACTTATATTATACTTGTAAGTGAGCTTGGGGCGGAAGAGTCCTTGAGGACCCCTTGTCTTACTGAGATTTCTTTTTAGAGATCTCACCCCACGTTTGGGGCACACATTTCTGGTTCAGGTAATGCGGGGGTTGAGACCTCTAGCGGCAGGAGGCCGGAGCTGAGTTAGATGTCTGCTGTTATGATTATATGCTGGATGCTGTTATGTTATCTTTATGATTATGTTGTTATTGTTGAGACTGTTGTTGGGCCTTGTGGCCTTATTTGGTGA